GAGTACTGACAGTTGCTCTTCCATACCTGAAAAAACAAACGGGTCGAAAATTTCTGATTGGAGACAATTTGTCTTCCCATTTATCAGTTGAATCTGTGAAGTTGTGTAAAGACAATGCTATCAATTTTATTTTTCTCCCAGCTAACTCCACCCATCTGACACAACCTCTGGACGTGGCATTTTTTTGGCCATGGAAAGCAAAATGGCGACAGATTCTCGAAGAGTGGAAAAAGGGCCCAGGAAGAGCGGAAGCAACTGTTCCTAAGAATAAATTTCCAATGTTATTGAAAAAGTTGTGTGATTCATTGAAGAAAGAAAATGTAATCGCCGGTTTTAAGAAGTGCGGTATAGCGCCTCTAAATAAGAACAAAGTGCTGTCTATGCTTCCACAAATTATTGATGAAGAGGAAAACCAAAATCCCGAAAACATTCAGAAGAACCACGAAGCTGTTGACAATAGTTTCAAAGAGCTCCTTCATAGTCTTAGAGAAGGTCAGTCTCCTTATATAAGGAAAAAGAGAACCAAAGTTAATGTGAAACCCGGCAAAAGTATCAGTGTTGAGGACTTTGTCGACGACGATGAGAACTTAAATCCCCAAACTTCACTTGCTAGTAACCAAAACCCATGTTCCTCCAAACAGGTTCAGCCAAATAAAAGCCGAAAGCGTGTGGAGTTATCATCAGAAGATGAAGATGACTTTTCAGTGCAGGATACTGACTCTTCAGATGCCCCTGATCTAGATGAAAGTACTGACAAGGCCTCAGGCGAAAACCTCGTCATCAATGAAGATGACTACATGTTATTCAAAGTTTATGGTAAAAAAAACATCTTTTAGGTTTTATATATGCAAGGTTGCTTTCCTTGAAGATGACGGTTTCGTTGGAATATTTTTGAAAAGAGTGCAACAAACTAATAAGTTTACCATAACTGAAGAAGAATCACTTGTCTCCAGAAACGACGTCATCCTAAAACTATACTCCCCAGTATTTTCCTCAAGTACGCTATTTAAAGACATGATATTTTTCGAAGATGACCTGTCTAATTTCACAATTTATTAATAATTATTTAATCTTATTAAATACGATTTTTTTACTTAGAATTATGTAATTTCTTTTGTTTATATAGCTACCTACTTAAATAAATCATTATGTTGAGAAATAAATTTGTATTTATCCATTTATAAATTAAAAATACCATATTTAACTGCTTCTATTCACCCCCGATACCTTTCAATAGAAACAAACATAAAATTAAAGTACTGTTTCTATTCACCCCCCTTTGAAGGGTGAATAGAAACACCATGTTTTAATTTTTTTTCTTTAAAATAAAATAAAATTAAAATAGTTAAATACTATAAACAAATAGGTCTACCAGAGACCTGTGTTTGGGCAAAAAATTGTGTATCTAGAACAACTACAAATATAAAAAAATTTAAACCAAAGTTGAAAATTGTTTCTATTCACCCCGTTTTTCGTTTTAAACTTATGATTAGAAACTTGGTCCTGTAGTGAACAATAAATAATGTAAATAACTCAATAACGACTTATATTATTTTCCTGTACATCATTTGAACAGTACAAGAATAAATCCACAAAAAAAGACACAAAAAGTTGTGACCAATTGAACCAATTTAAACCATCCGCTAAACCTAAATAATTTTAATGTATTAAATTAAACTAAACTAAATTAAGTTGTAACAAATGGTATCGATGTGATCATGTTATTACATCACTTAGTGATCAGCAGATCTTTAGCTTATAGAAACAAATGTACTATTCTTATTGCTGAACACATATTAAAAAATTACAATAAATTGTGGTTTAACCCGATCTAAAATAATATTTAACATGCCACAAGAAAATAGTTTCCGAACCTATTTTCATCTGCTGAGCCGCACAACCTTTATATTGTATGTATTAAAAAGAAGATATATTTTATTTGACATCTTGCGATGTGCCCAAATTGTATAACTTTCAAAATTTGAGTTTTGATTTTTACTTCAAAAATACATATAGAAATACATATTAGAAAACAATTGTGTTAAATTTTGTTCATGTTTATTTAATTCGCATCAGTTCTTTATCCGAAAGTTTGATCAATAAGCGAAAACATGGAATCTGATTCGGAAGTTAGATCGCTGAATGCAAGCTTAATGGAATCAAAGTCGAAAACAAATACAATGCCTACATCTGAGATTTCTATTAAAGAATTTTTAAACTTCCTAAGAACTGCTTATCAAGTAAGTTTTTTTAATAATTTAGTTATAAAGTATTTTAATTCACACCTAGTAAAAAAGCCTAAAAGGCACGTTAGAATATTAGACATTGAGGGACAGAATAATATTTATATATTTTTGTTACGGTAAAAGTAATAAACTTGTAATTAAAGTCTACTCCATGAATATACTGACTGTTTTGAATTCGGTGTAAAAGTATCGAGTGTTTTGGTATAATTTTTTGAATAATGTATGACTTCTTGTTCGGTTATGGATTTACCAGGAAACCGGTCGTCTAGATAGTTAAATTAAACTGATTGTGCGTAAGTCTTATTTATTATTTCTTTTACCTATTTGAAATGGACTCACACAAGCAACACATTCATGATTTTAATAGTAATTAATTTTAAAAAAAGTTATTTCGTTCATTTTTTTTTCAATAAAATACGCTGCTCCTGACGCGTATGCATCAGGAGCTAGCAATTTAAGCTATTTTTTTCCTTAATATGATAATATACATCAGAAAAAGTAGTTGCAAATTAGGGTTGCCAACTGTTAAAAACTCGAGGTATTAAAGATAAAATGTACATTATTATATATCTATCGACGCATGCTTTGAAAACTCACACAGCTGACACTTCAAGCCACTAGCGTTGCGCGATAGCTATATTTTATTTTATCTTTTTGATACCTCGCGTTTTTAACAGCTGATAACCCTAATTTGGCACCATTTTTTCTTAGGCAGCATTATTTCATCAAATTAAGGAAAAAATGGCTTTAATTTGATATAAAAAAACATGCATATACGTCATGAGCAACGTATTTGATTTAAAAAATAAATGAAAGAAATAAAATATGTCAAAAACTAATAACTATTAATTAAATTAAAAATATATGCAGTCACTTTTTGCATGCATATACGTCATGAGCAACGTATTTGATTTAAAAAATAAATGAAAGAAATAAAATATGTCAAAAACTAATAACTATTAATTGAATTAAAAATATTTGCAGTCACTTTTTAGTGGCAGTCTGTTATCAATGTATTCCTAATTTTAAGTATATGTAAAAATGTTAGTTTTAATAGTTAGTAAAATATTAAATAAAATCAAATAAAACTACACTTGAGTGAAAAAAAAATCGACTCAAAAGCGATATTTGAGATTACACCTTCTGTTTCAATGTATAATTATAAAAACAATACGCAATACGTAGGTACAGAGTTTCCTAAATATTTATCATTGGAACTAACACAAGAAAGACGTTACAAACAGAGAAATCATACACTACAAAATGAATTTCTTTATTTTTCAATATTTGATATTACCACCCCTACTTCTAGATACACTTTCCAATCAATTTCACATGGATCGGATGACTTTTCTAATAAATTCTTAAAGCATTGCGTCCCATTCATCATTAAGCGCAGCTCTCAATTCCATTATGCTCCTTGGTGCATGATTTCTGTCCCGGGCCCTTTATTTAAGCTCATCCCAAACATGCTCAAATTTCAGTCAGATAGGTGGTGGTGACTCGTACGGTATGGCATCGTGCATTAAAATAAAGGCATCACCAATAAATCCCTCGTATGGAATCACATTTTCCTCCAAAATGTCTCTGATGTAACGATCAACCGTTAAACCTCCTCCACATTCTTCACCAGGCACGAAAACCAACTCGGTTTTCACATCCATGGAAATGCCTACCCAAAATATACAAGACCCACCTCCATATTACAATTTCTCGTATATAATATTGAGAAAATCGCTGTCCTGGCCTTCTATAGACTCAACGCCTCTTGTCGTTGCCATATAGGCAGATCATACTTTCGTCGGAGAATAATACTTGACTCCATTGGTAGTCTTCCCAATCCAGATGTTCGCGAGCAAATTCTAATCGCCTTTGCTTCTAGGCTGCTGTAAGCTTGCGACCCGTAGCTGCCCTTTTTGATGTCAGGATGACTACCTTCAGCTTCCTTCTGACTGCCCGCTGGTAACCACACCTTGGACCTCTCTAAGCTCTTCTTTGAGAATAGCACCAGTCAAATGTTGATTCTCGGGAATTTCGATACAAGAAATCGATCTCTCTCCGTTGTTATTCGTTTACGGCCTCCTCCTTGTGGGTGGACATAATCACAAATATCTTGGAACCGACGATACACTAGGGACACAGCAGATTGGCTTAAATTTAATCGATTTGCCAGGGCCCTTTGGCTCAGGCCTTCTGTCAATATTGCTACTGTTTGACCTGCTTTGACGGATGTGGTATCCATTTGTAATGCAGTTGCGAACTTAAGTGACTAATGTATTAGTGGGTTGCTATGGATATTGATGCGTACGATGTTAACCGAAGGCGTTAAGTCGGTGCGTGTTCAACGAGTCAAATTCTTGCAATATTTATTTGTAATACGTGATACGATTCACTAAAAACAAAACGTTTTAAAACTCAATAATGAGGTTAATAATTGTACACTTAATATTTTTAAATTTACACTTTTTAGATTAAAACAGGAGACGTACTTTCGAAAAATAATTTTGAATCGATTATTTTGCACTCAAGTGTAGTTGTATAACATTTTTATATTCCATGTAATCCAATTTTTAGTATTTTACTGTGAATTTGGTGTATATCATTTGGCGATATAAAATATAAAGTGGATCTGTAACTTTGAAATTGTGCGCGAATTAATCCAGTCAGCTGATAGAGTAGTAATATCGTGAGAAATAAGATGTCGTGGTTAGGCGAGACTTAAGTAATCAAATCAAACTTATATTAAAATTTTAGGTTCAAGATAGCATTGAAAATATTTTGACTGCAAATGGCATGTCAGACGCAGTGGAATGGTTAAAAAGAAAAGAGACACTAATGTTACTTAACCAAAATAGTATTAGCTGCCAAACAGTTGTAGATACCACTATGCCAGATGACAAAAAAGGTGATTTTTTTTTATAACTTTCAAAATATATATATATATATATATATATATATATATATATATATATATATATATATATATATATATATATATATATATATATATATACACTCACCGGCAAAATTAACGGAACACCTTAAAAATGGGACATGTTAGATGACTCGAATTTCCTAAACCTGTTGTCCGATTTTAGTGATTTTTTTAGTATGTTATAGGTATATTATTTAAGAATATCAATAAAATAATATTGTTTCTAGACAGGTCAACGTCATTTTATACCGGGTGTAACAATCATACTGTGTTTTTTCCTTAAAGTTCATTTCCAATTATAATCTCAGGCTTTCTTAACATTTTCTTTTTTGATTCATTTTCTTGTGTTGGATAATAAAAAAGTTAGGTACGTTAACAACTAGCCATGTTTTTTCATCAATAAATTCTCATTTTCTTCTTAGTTTCACCAGCATATTTAAAGGAACAACCATAAAATCTGAGTATTTTCTCTCTAGTCTATATACTGTTTAGATAATATCATAATACGAATGTTGGTGAAGTATTTTGAATTTATATTACAATGGTAGTACAATATAAAACCTGTTTAAGAAGAAATAAAACACAAAGATGTCAGACTCAACAAAATACGGATTTTAAATGCATTAACTTTATTGTACAGTTTGAACTTAAATTGTTTTTTATGCATTTTTTTGGCTTTAATAGCGTGTGTTTCCCCTACGAGCCATTACAACTGCAGTTATTCGTCTTCTCATACTCCTGATAACGTTGCCCAGTTGTTGGGCAGCCTCTCCCATTCCTCAATCTTTTGTAATTGTGACTTCTTCTCTGTTTTGAATAGCAGGAACCCGTGCCCTAAGTTTTCTGCCTAGCATGTCCCACATATCCTCTATCGGGTTTAGGTCTGGGGAACAAGCTGGCCAATTCATCGTTGTTATACCCACTTGTAATAAGAAATATCTTACACTTACACTCTTACACTATAAAATAAAATTTTCGCCAATATATGGTGAAAAAGGTACCACATGGTCTTGGAGAATATCTCTGATATACTTATCTGCTGTTAATGCTCCACCATCAATCACCACTAACTCTGTTATTGCTCCCAAACATATACCGCCCCACACATAATTAAACCTCCACCAAAAGGTACGGTCGTAGTAAAATTGAAAGGGGCATTTCGTTCTCCTTGGCGTTAATACAATCTTTTTCTACCGTCGATGTAATTTACACAGAAACGGCTCTCGTCCGTAAAGAGAATTTGACTCCAGTGGTTATCATTCCAATTTTGATGTACTCGACCAAATTGTAGTCGTGCTAAACGATGGTGTCTCTGGAGTCTGGGAGCTTTTATTGGCACATATGACTTGAGACCGGCTTCTTTAAGTCTCTTTCTTATTGTGCGCTGAATTAAATACAAGTTTGTACTTGTTATGAACAGACAGAATGACTGTAAAATGTAAAACACAATACAAATAAACAAATTAATTTGACATTTTGACATTTAATACTTTCTTGTAACAAGGAGCTTTCAAAGCCATGTAGATATAGTCTATAAAATATAAATATAAAGAAATATTGCATTAATAACAGGTTCCTTTAAATTTGCCGGTGTGTGTATTAAATTGTTAACTTCTCATAGCCTACTTTAGGCTTGTTTTTAAACTAAGCAGAAAATGAGGATTTATTGATGAAAAACATGGCTAATTGTTAACGTACCTAACTTTTTTATTATCAAACATAAGCAAATGAATAAAAAAAATGTTAAGAAAGCCTGAGGCTATAATTAAGTTTTAATTTCAATATTTTATATATGCTAGAATATTCCACAGGGTGTTCCGAACTTTAAGGAAAAAACACAGTAGGATTGTTACACCCGGTATAAAATGACATTGACCTGTCTAGCAACAATATTATTACATCGATATTCTTAAATAATATACCTATAACATACTAAAAAAATCACTAAAATCGGACAACAGGTTTAGGAAATTCGAGACATCTAACATGTCCCAATTTTAAGGTGTTCCGTTAATTTTGCCTGTGAGTGTATATATATGTATATATATATATATATATATATATATATATATATATATATATAATATATATATATATAATATATATATATATATTATATATATATATATATATAATTTATATATATATATATATATATATATATATATATATATATATATGTATATATATATATATATATATATATATATATATATATATATATATATATATATATATATATTTAATCTTTTCTACTCTGATTTTTATTTTGAGAAAATTATTTGTATAAGTATTTATTTTTTTACAGATAAAAGTGCACATCCTTCTTCATTTAAAAATTCATTACTAATATGATAGCCGTTATAAAGGTTGTAATACTTAGTATAATAAAAAATTTTATTAAAATATTTATTAAAAATCCTTTGTAAAAGGAGGTATATATTAAGAACATAAACGTGCTAAGTTAAACAGACAAAACGTTTTCGGAATCCATATTCCATCATCAATGTCTAAGAGTACATGAATGTAGCCACTAAATATATGGGTAAAAACCCGTTAACAAATAATTGATTATATTTGGTTTACAAAATTTAAAGTATTATACTTTATTCTTCTCTGAAATTAGCGACGGTATACCCAGATTAGACCATAAAGATAGAAACAATTTTTTAAATAGATAAACATTGAATGACTATTTGTGTGAAAAAAAGTCACAAAAAATCTTTTCAGACAAAGATCAAAAATATTCATTAAGCAACTAATTGAAAATAAAAATAAAATAAATGTTAACTGTGCTCAAGTAATAATGTAAATTTGACTCAAGTAATTATTTTCAGAAATAAGTAGAAAAAAAAGTACTACTTCTTTAAGTGCCGGAGATTGCGAACCTCTGAAACGAAAACTAAGCGAAGTTGTTTCCGAAGGACTTCTAGATTCGGTACTTCCGTATTTAGTTCAACAAAACAATTCAAAAAAGAGTTTAGTCTCCATAAAGCTTAACGACAAAGGTGATAGACCTGTAACTTCTCACTCTTCCACTACTACCATACCCCCCAATGAAAAAAACATGGCAAGAAGAAGATCTAGTGATACTATTATTAAATCGCTTCCCATTATTAAACCCGACTCAGAAGTTGAAATCCATGTATGCGACGAGCTAAAATCAGCTAAAAAGACATTTTACTGCAATCAAAATTTGCTAATTTCCAAAATGGGTTATTTCGCATCAGTAACCCAAGGTCAGCGTTTGGAAGATATGGATATATCTGTCCACTGCGATATTGGTATTTTTGAATGGCTTATGCAGTGGATCAAGAAAGATACTCTGCCGGAATCGGAATGGCCACAGTTGGAATCTAATTATGTTATTCCTATACTAGTATCAGCAGCTTTCCTGGAAATGGAATCTTTATTGGAAGACTGTTTGTTATTTTGTCATGAACACATGAATGATATTTTAAAAACCAATACAAATCTGTCGTGTCTAAATGAATCTGTACTTATCAGGTACGTATTAGATTGTAGTAAACGTTGCTAGTTCTAGGTTTGCTCTAATTTTTTTTATTTTTGAAATTGTCAAAAAATATTGCTGAGAAAATTAATTTTTCTTCATATTCAGTTTTAATAATGGGTCTATCCTACGAACTTCTTCGATAAATTTACTACTTGTTCTTGAATACAACTCATCCGAAGCAAACAAATTGTTTTTCCCCATGATTGGTTTTGTTTCTCTAGTTGTAACTTATCGAACAGTTATTATACTATTAATATTCTTCTTCTTCATGTGCCTTGTCCGTTCCGAACGTTGGCAATCAACATGGCTATTCTAACTTTGTTTACGGCAGATCTGAATAGTTCAGCAGATGACAATCCGAACCATTGCCGCAAGTTTTGGAGCCACGAGTGTCTTCTCCTCCCTGGACCCCTTCTGCTGTCTATTTTCCCTTGAACGATCAGCTGTAGTACTCTATATTTATCATGTCTCATAACGTGACCCAAGTATTCCAACTTTCTTTTCTTTATACGTATTCTTGCCTCTCTCTCTCTCTTTACCTATCCGGCGTAGTATCTCTTCGTTGTTCACGTGCTCAGTCCAGGATATACGTAATATACGTCGGTAAGCCCACATTTCGAGGGCCTCTACTTTTTTCATCAAAGTTGCGGTCATTGTCACGCCTCCATTCCATATAATAAAACCGGGAATACATAACATTTCAGAAGTCGAATTTTGAGAGGTAGGGTGAGGCTTTTAGAGGTGAAAATTTGTTCATGCTTCACATAATATTACAGTTTATATAACTGTAATATTACTACTTGTAGAAATTCTATATCGTAATTAATTTTCTTATTTTCAGATAAGGAACAGATGTATGTGTTAATTTTATTTTTATGTGCTTACCTTTCAGACTATCTGCAATGTATACCAATGTCGAAGTGGAAGCTATTAAAGACAAGAAAGATAAGATACAGTCTCGACTGTTTACAAAATTAATACAGTCTCTAGCGGAACCAGAACCCGAGAGTGTTAGGGGACACTGGTGTTCTCTGGCAAAAGTGTTTCGTTGCGAAAAATGTCAGCTTCTAATTACACCAGATGTGGCATCCAAAATTCCATGCGTTCCACCTTGCATGCGACTTCAACCAGATGGGAGTATTATTAGTTTACATATAAGGTAAACAAATTTTACTTTAATTTTTTTTTAATCATATCTATATTATTTATGCATAATACGAGTATGTTGAAACTGCCGGAACACCGTTCCGGCACTGGTTAAAAAAAGAAAAAAAAATAAATAGAGAATTTATTTTTTGTAAATAAAACACGGATTATAGAAAGCGTTCTGTATATTTCGTTACAGTACAACGATTCACTTCGTCCTTCGGGTTAATCGTTGTAGGCCTACTACTGCCTAGTGCACAAAAACCAGAGTTTACGACCACGGCGCGAAAATTAGACTGTACTTCTAAGAAACTCTCTCACCCCACTTCGTCCGAATACGGCTACTCGCCCCATAGTATTTGCAGAGTATTTGTTTGTGTATAGTTTACTCGAACAAATCATAGTAATTCGCGTACGCTTTGCGAAGTTTTATGTTTATTTGAAATAAATGCATTAGGTAATATATATTATTCAAGTGTGATAACTGTAGTGGAAAATACTTCAATGGAACCTCAGAGGAAGAAGCAAAATAATATAATGTCATTTTTTGAAGTAGGGAAAAAAGAACTAACTTCTGTTTCTCCTTGCATCATCAGCTATAGATGAGGAAAGTAAAGATAATTTAACCGAACAGTCTAATTCAATTGAACGTCGTCCTAAACCGGATGAGTCTGATAGACTTGGCCTGCAGTACAGACTTTATCTGCAGCAATTGGTCACTGAATTAAAATGGCCATCTATTTGGAACCAAGAAATGTAGGAGCAAAAAAAGAAGCTTTTCCTTGGATTGATTATAAGGAAGGAAACTTGGTTGCGCTTCGGTATATATATATATATATATATATATATATATATATATATATATATATATATATATATATATATTAAACTTAAAAAAACTAAGATTAATATTACAAAAACAATATTAAACAAAATCACCAGGCTTGCGGGTTGAACCGCGTCGATTTTCACAGCATTCTTCTTTAGGGATTTCAGGGTCTCAGTCTCCTAGCCCCAGACACTACACTGTTCACTGCACTACATTGTATAGCGACACAATCGACCTAATTTTCGTTTCCATCCCGATTTGCAGACTGGTAGCTCTTCCCAAGTCCACTAAGCATTATTTTTGAAAATAATTTTGTTAATTTTTAGGCGGCTTTTGAAGTTTCCCTTTTATTTGGTCTATTCTATTCCTATGTATAAGTATATGAAAATAATGGTCCATGTCCAAGACAGTTCTTTTTAGACACTTAACGTCTGTGCAAGTTTGTGTACTCTAAAATATGCCCTTGCTTATTGTTATTTACTTGAGCCTGCCCGGCTCAAGGTCTATCACCACGTTAAGATGAAACAGCACGATAAGGCAACAATTTATTTTTAGATAGTTTGAAATTTTTTTGATAAGAAATAAATTTAATATGCTTTCAGAGATCCAAATTGGGATATCAACACTTACATAATTAGACTATTTAAGACTTTAAAATCATGGCGAAGAGTTTATTGGAGATTATGGGGTGATGCGCATTTTCTTTTCTGCTCTACTTGCCAACGCTATTTCCCATCAAATCAGATTGGCTGGTGTCGCTATCATCCAGATACTCCACAGTTCTTTACTTTAGATGCCCAAAGAGCTCCGCTGCCTATAGGACGATTTCCTTGTTGCGGAGAAAGGGCGTACAGATTTCAGCTACTCGAAAACTTCAACGGATGTCACTTTAGACAACATACAGTGAGGAATTGTTTCATAACAAATCAACTGATCCAATGTACAAAAATTATTTTAAAAACTTTTAGGTTCTTGCAGAAGATGTAAAAGACGCATCAATATTTTCTATGTTAGAAACGTATAGGCACTTAATTGAAGAAGAACCACCCCAGCTGCTATTTCCTGAAAAATTGACTAGACTTGTAGCAAGAGGTAAGTTTTTTTATTGCTATATACATTTTTCACGTTAAGTTACATCTAGATCTATACACAGTATACAATGTTCTTCAAAAATTAAATATTCACAAATATTGCGTAAGAGAGCTACAGCTTAATGAAACACTATGATTGCAACATCGATTTTATTCAAATATTTTTTTCACTTAATAAATATTTATTATAAATATATCATTAGGTATATTTTTATAAAACACTTATCTTATAAATATATTTTTGTAAATTTGTTTAGAGAAATTTATTCAGAAATTACTTGCTTGAAAGAAGTATTTATAGATATTTTATTTTATAGATATAGATAAAGATATTTTTATTTACAACTTTTTGATTGTGAGTTAATGGTCCCAGATGCAAGTATAAGTTTACAACAGAAAAGCGGTCAACGGTGGTTATATGGGGATGGTTGTTGAGTTGCCTATCGACTTTCATGATTCTTCAATATATTTAAGTTCAAACTAAATATTGACTTTCATTTTTAACCAGTCATATGAAGTCAATTCAAATGAACCTAGCCCTCGAAGACGTCTTCAAAACTACAAATTGGTCAACCTATGGCATTAACGATAATGGCAACAAGTTAAACCACCTCAGATTCGCTGACGACATAGTGATTATTGTTGTATATTTAAGAATTAAGTTTTATGTTTAGAGTAGAATCTAAGTTATATTTTAGACATTACTGTTTGTGTTAGTCTGTATTCAGCTTAAGATCATGAACTTTAGTGTGTAGACAGCTTAAGCTGACAGCGGACAGAGAACAATGATGGCCGCTAGTTAGAGCCCGTAATGTAAGTTATATGTTAAAAAAAAAAAGAAAATAAAGTTCTTCAGAATAGTTATTTTTATAATATCCACCACCAACGAAATAAAACATGGTGTCAGGTGTGGGGTTTTATTTCGTTGGTGGTGGATATTATAAAAATAACTATTCTGGAGAACTTTATTTTCTTTTTTTTTTAAACATATAACTTACATTACGGGCTCTAACTAGCGGCCATCATTGTTCTCTGTCTGCTGTCAGCTTAAGCTGTCTACACACTAAAGTTCATGATCTTAAACTGCATACAGACTAACACAAACAGTAATGTCTAAAATACAACTTAGATTCTACTCTAAACATAAAACTTAATTCTTAAATATACAACAATTATAGCGAGCACATTCGAGGAACTGCAAATTGTGATGGGGAACTAACAGGCAGCTCCCAATACGTCGGCCTAAAAATGAATATGAAAAAAACAAAAAGAATGACAAACACAGATGATCCCAGACGTATAACTATAAATGGCAATGAGATAGAACAATTCCAGGAATATATCTACCTAGACAAAATCCTGAAACTTGACAAAGAGAACAAAATTGCGGAAATTACTAGAAGAGCAAGACTAGCATGGGCAGGATTTGGAAAACTTAGTTGGATACTTAAGAACCGCAAAATACCCCAATACTTGAGGAGCAAAGTGTTCAACCAATGCATCCTTCCTATCATGACATATGGATGTCAAACCTGGACCCTAACCAAGGCAAACATAAATAAACTAGCCACAACAGAAAGAACAACGGAAAGAGCAATGTTAGGTATACGACTGTCAGATAAAAAGAGGAACGACTGGGTAAGATCAAAAACAAAAGTCGAGGACATAACAACAAAAATTGCCAAACTTAAATGGAGCTTCGCCGGCCACACTGCTAGACAAAAAAACCAACGTTGGAATACTACAATACAACATTGGAGACCTTATGAAAGTAAACGACCAAGAGGAAGACCACAGATGAGATGGGGTTGATGACATTAAAAGAATAGCCGGAACAAATTGGAAATATGTTGCTCAGGATAGAGACTGATAAAAGGAGTTAGCTATGTCCAAACATGGACGATAGAAGGCTAAGAAGAAGAAGGCAGGGCTGTGTCGTCGTAAAACACAGATTGTTCATTTTTCGGCCATTTTGTAGATGTACAATAGGATTATTCCTTTTGGTTAAGTCCACAAATATTTTCAGCTGTACATATATCTTAAGGTGCAGTCTCTCTTATGCGACTATCGCAAGCGACTAACGCACTGGTTGGATAGTCTCTCTTGTGTACTTGACGCATGCGATAGACAAGCTGATATTGAACTGAATGGCAGGAATTTTATAATAATGCAGCATATTGATAAAGATACAGGTTTATCTTTACACATTTAAAGAGCAAGAATTGGAGGAGAGGATTTTAAAAATAATGCTAGATAATGTATATTTATAATTTATATAAATAGCTGTTTTGTAGTCTTTTGTAGTTTTTCACACCTGGTCCCTCTTATTTTACATCCCTATAAGTAGCATTTTGGTCTCTCAGAAATTAAATCTATGAGTCTAGCATCGTTATTAGCTTGCATTTTTAAAATAAAAACAAAAATGTAAATTCCAAAAATTCAAAAAAACTCTACCTTCAAAAACACGTGTTGATAACCTACAAACACTAAATTTTTTAGTATTTTATAGTAAAAACTAGGCTCATCCAACCATAGTAAAAACTAGGCTTATTCGAAAGAAGATGTCGGAACCGGTGACTCAGGTAAGATACAACATAAGATGACAGACTCATTTCCAATAACACAAGGATTAAAACAGGGTAATGGGCTGGCACCACCGCACCTTTTATTACACATACATCGTACACATGTTGATTATTTATGGAGAAGCGCAGTGTAACAGTAATTTAGCTGTCCAAATTTATGTATATTGGAATGTCAAAAAACGTTGTTCATAGAACATTTACGAAACAACTTCTGCATTCATACCACTATCAAAGAGTACAAGATTTACAAGGTGATCTTCCTCTTAAATTAACATTTTGTAGATGGTTTTAAGATATACTCGTCAGAGAACCTGGATTCATCTAAAGTGTTAAGTGCGGATGAAGCATCTTTCACGAGAAACGGTGTGTAAAATTTTCATAATTGCCACATATGGGGTGACAAGAACCATTATTTAATACGTAGGACAAATCTTCAATGAAAATTTAGCATGGGCATAATGTTTTACCGGTACTTCTTGTACTTGGGATTAACATCTAACTTAACATCTTGGGATGTTAAGGGATAGTGATGCGCAACATATAGCCTCTCCTATTCAAATGTCAACCTCACCTGCTCGTATGATGATCTAGATCATGGTCATCTGGTACATTCTGCTAGATAACTAACGAGGCTCTGGCGTCCGAGTGTTTGCCGGGATAAGCAATCCACCATTTACTGGCCAACGGCTTCGGGCGGATGAGCTGGTAAATGGAAGGGCACTATGTTGTCCTGAGACTGAGAAATTGGTCTCATAGGCGGAAAAACCAAGAAAGTGGTCAACGGCATCAGAATGCAGAAGGCAACGAGAAACCACTGCATTAAAGGTCCCTGATGACATCTCTAGTAAAGCTATCATGGCAAATCCAACTAAAGTGGAAACTCTTACTAATCATGGAATACGGAAGGCAAGATTCGGCAGGCCCTGTGATCCACGTTTGGATCACAGGGCCTCCCAGGTCGTAACCCAGCGAAACCCCTGTGGCAGAACCGAAAAAGTGTCTCTCAGAACATCAGAGTTGACTACTAAAATATGTACCTGAAATGTGAAGACAATGTATCAGGCTGGAAAAATTCATAATACCATTCAAGAAATGACCAGACTTGGGATCAGTATAATGGGCATAAGCGAAATGAGGTGGCCAAATAGTGGTGCTTGTATTGTTGACAATCATATGGTATACCACTCGGGAAATCAAGATGGTCAACATATATATGGGGTTGGAATAATCGTCTCTCCCCAATTACGTCAATATATGTTACAAATGTTATACCTGTTTCTGAAAGATTAATAATAATCCAACTGAATACTAGTCCCGTCAGGTTAAATATTTTACAAGTGTATGCTCCCACTAGCGATAAACCAAAAGAAGAGCTAGAGCAATTTAATGAGTAGTTGATAAATTCACTTAAACTACTTAAAATAGACGATATAATTATTATTATGGGTGACTTCAATGCGAAAATTAGTAAAGGAAGAAGCGGTGAATTCATAGGTGATTTTGGCCTAGGGCAGAGAAATGAAAGGGGAGAAAGATTAAAACTGTTTGTAGAGGAAGAAGAATTTGCAATACTAAATACATTCTTCAAACTACCACCAAGACGCTTGTATACCTGGGTCTCCCCGCAAGATCAACCAGGACACGTAATACGGAGTCAAATTGATTACATAATGGTGAACAAGAGATTTCGTAATGGATGCCTATCAGTTAAGAGTTACTCAGGTGCTGACGTATCATCAGATCATGTTCCTGTTGTTGGTAAATTTAGGTTTAGATTCAAGAAGGTCACAAAAAAGAATAGTAACAAAAAGTGCGATATGAGAAGACTAAAAGATAACAAAACAAAAGAAGCAGTTGCACAGATTCTTTCAGAAAAGCTAAGTAATATGGAGCAAACATATAATGCCGAAGAATCACTCCAAAATATATGTTAAACCTTTAACAAGATCAGAGAAGAACATCTAATAGAAAAGAAAGATAAGAAAAAAAGTTGGATGAATGACAATATACTGCAACTTATGGAAGAAAGAAGAAAATCAAAGAAGAACAAAATAATTTACAACAAGATTCAGAGACAAATAAGAACCGAAATACGAAAGGGCAAAGAAAATTGGTTAAAATCACAGTGTGAAGAGATAGAGTTGTTAAAACAAAAACATGATACGTTTAACATGCATAAAAAGGTGAAACAAGCAGCTGGTCTTCAGAAATCCAACACAGCTAACAATTACTATTTATAACTGGGAATAAGCCACATTAAAGATTAATTATAATTAATTAAACTTTGCTATTACTCAGCCATCCGTTCCAAAATTAGACATAATAAGCTCAGTGGAGAAAATATCTCAATGCTTACCAACCCATGAAAAGGAAGAATACAGAGTGTTATGTAAACTTGAATTGGAGAAATCTACTAAAATTGAACAAAACATAAGCAAAGAGGAACTAAAGGCTATAAGAACTTTAAAAAATGACGACTCCATAATTATCCTACCAGCAGACAAGGGGAATGCAACTGTAATAATGGATAAAATTCAATACGAAAATAAAA